CATTCTTAATATTACACATCACTGTCATCTTAAATGCTGGGTGTCTTCTCTCTTCTGCATCATTCTAATCAGAGCACTTTTCACGTCTTTGTTCCTAAGACTATAAATGAGTGGGTTCAGCATGGGGATCACAACACTATAAAAAACAGAGGCCACTTGGTCCTTTCCCAAAGAGTAGGACTTACTTGGTTTTAAATAAGTAAAAATTAAGGTACCATAGAAGATGGAGACTCCCAGGAGGTGGGAGGCACAGGTTGAGAAGGCTTTTTGCTTTCCAGAGGAGGAACTGATTTTCAGGATGGTAGAGAGAATGGACCCATAGGATGCAGAGATTGTGATAAGTGACACCATCAGGGTGGACCCACAAAGAATGAAGATCATGATCTCTGCATCACGTGTGTCAGTGCAGGACAGGACCAATATTGGAGTTGTGTCACAGAAAAAGTGACGGACGACATTGGAGTCACAGAAAGGCAAACTGCTGATCCAAAGCACAGTGATGATGGAATCAAAGAAGCCAATCACATAGGATGCAGTGATGAGGGAGCAGCAGAGTGTCATGGACATAACAACTGGGTATTGCAGAGGGTTACAGATACCTGCATAGCGATCATAGGCCATTGAAGAGAGAAGCGAACATTCGGTGGCAGCCAGTAAGACAAAAAAATACATTTGGGTGAAACAGCCTTCAAATGAAATAGACTTAGTGGAAGTCAGTAAGTTCTCTAAGGTTTTAGGGGTAATGACTGTTGAGTAACTGAGATCCAGGAAGGACAGGTGACTGAGGAAAAAATACATGGGGGTGTGAAGCTGGAGGTCCAGGCGGATTAGCAGTATCATCCCTGCATTCCCCAGCACAGTCATCAGGTAAATCAGGAGAAAGAGACTGAAGAGGACCAGCCGCATCTCTTCAGAGTCTGTCAGTCCCAGGAGGATGAAGTCAGACACGTTTGTGTTATTCTTTCTGCCCATTGTGTGCACCTTCTCCAAACTGTAGGAGAATGAAGTTGATACTTTGCATCAGTGACTTCAAAATTATTTTATTTATGTGAATGACCTGGCATTCAAAAAACAAAATACTTTTATTTTTGTAGAAATTGATAATAAAGAGTGTTTTATAAAATTTTATTAATCAAAATCTTAATTTTATTTTCCTAAATATAGATTTAAATCAACAATGGAATATTACATGATAAAAATGTAGCATGTATTATGTAATGAGAATGAAACTCTTAATGTTGTCAATGTTTCCCTCTGTTAACATATTTAATGCCCGTGAAAAAATTATAGCATAGGTTTACTTTTATCCATAGTTTTAAGTAAGAAAATTGGCACAAATGTTGAAGTAATTTATCCAAAGTCAGAGCTAGTTAAGTATTGACTGTGTCCTTCTATCATGTAGGCTTATTAGAAAAAGTATGCTGATGACACTGTTACCTAAATTATAATGAATTTCTGCTGCCTGAGAACAATTGTAAACATGTAGCAAGCAATGAGATAACTACAGTTTTAATGTATTTTTTACTATCCTTTTGTTTCCAATATTACTTAGAACTACTGACAAATGAGAAATTTCAAGCTCTGGGGTCTTTACAGTGGTGAAATAAATTTCTATACCACAGAACAGTAATTTCCAGAAGAATTTTTTACTATTTTTCTTAATGTGAAGGTTGAAAATCAAATTCCTTTTGAAAATTACATTTCCAAAAAATGAATGTTGCCTTATACCACTAATGCTATCCACTGCATATCTCTGTTTCCACAAATCCTGGGATGTCTTAGGTTTAATCCTAAATTTTATATATATATACACATACATATGTTCTTATTCTTATGTTTCCCTTTTATTTGATGTAACCTAAATCAAATAAAAATCTGTTTCATCTAGTTGATATCAACTTATGTCACTCTAATCAACAAAGTAGAACTGTCCCATAAGTTGTCCAAGGCTGTAACCTTCATAAAAACAGACTGCAACATCTTTCTCCAGCAAAGTGGCTGGTAGCATTGCACTGCTAACATTTTGTTAGCACTTAACCACTGTGCCTCCATTACTCCTAGACATGATCTAATACCCTCTGATTTTCAGAATAATACTTACCATGAGCCAAAAGTGGTAAAAAAAAATTCAATATGACTTTCTGGAGCATTGCTGAGTTCTATTTATTCTCTCAAAAACAATGCATACAACATTTAAGGTGATGAACACTTCTGGGAAATAATGTTGTCCTTGCAGATACATTATTTTTACACTTCCATGCACACATTTTTTTTTTCCTGAGATAAAATAAATCAACCACCAAATTTGGTTCAATCTAGTCAAATGTAAAATTCATGAAAAAGAAAATCTCTAAAAACTCCCTGCAAACTATTATGAGTGTAAACCTAATAGAGCATACCTTGCCTGTCCTTGCAATAATCTAAGGCACCTCCTTTATTAGAGAATGCTGATAATGCAACATTGGGTCATCCCTGGGCACTAATTTCCAAGAGAAATTGCATGGCACATTTCCCAGGATGAAGTTCAAGAACAAATGGATTCATATTAGACTTGTAACAGATAGTTTTTTCCTCCAGGTAAAGTGACTTAATGAGGAGCGTGATAGTTTGGTCTTCTTTTTGACACTTTACATTGTTTACTAGGATATTAGAGAAACTATTTCATGAGGAATATTTATTATGTCTTTAAAAAGTAGTTAACTGTGAGTGGTAGAATAGTGTATTATTATAGAAAATCATCTTTGTATTTTAAAGTATGATTCTATCAAAGGAATAAATCATATTCATTAGAAAAAAATTTAAATACAACAAATTTCCAAGAAATTGAAAATTGGACTAACTGAAAACTATTGTTAATATTTTGATGTATTTTCTTCTGCATATTTTCCTTTTGCATAAAATGCTTATTACATGTGTCCTTACATATTGCATCAATTATTGAACTATATATTCAGTATCTTATTTTATCACTAAACAGTTATAGTACACTTTGATCTATGTTATGTTAGCTTTCTATAGAACACACAATTACTTGTATTATTCGGTGACTGCTGCTCTGTAGCCCACTTTCCTCAAAGAATATTCATCAGCAGATGGGGGGATGCTTTCAGACATCACATAATGTGGGTTTTGTTTTCAGCTTTGGCAATCTAATTCATCCACACAGATATCAATGCTATTAGTTTTACCATTTTAGTGTACTTAGCTTTTATTTGATAAAAAGAACAATGAGAGTGGAATATAAATAATAGACATAGGTTAGTATTGTGGTCACCTAGTGCCACTCTGACAAGAATATAACACAAGTGGGATGGCTTAAACAAACAGGAGTTTATTCTTACAATTTGGAGGCTTTAAGTCCAAGTTCAAAGTGCCAGGCTCTAAGGGCTGGGTGAAAGCCCCTAAACCTTGGGGTCCAGCT